CAGGAATCACCCACCCTACTTCCCAGACTTGTCTCCCCAAGACTTTTTCTTGTTCCCCAAATTGAAATCAACTCTGAAGGGCCAAAGGCTTGGGACAGAGAATACAGTCAAAAGTCTTTAATCCGGATGTCCATATAATCCAGAATGATCTATAATGCGGACCTCAAAGCTACAAACTTTCTATGCATGCATCAATGCATTATGCATTGACGCATGTGCATAATATTTTTACGCATGTGCATAATACGTTTACGCATGCGCATTTAATGTATAACGGACGGTATAAGCTAAGCTAAAATTATCTATTTCGGTTAATGTTGCAGATTGTGTTCTTCCTTAATCTTCGAATTGGATTCGGCTTATTATTTTTTGCAGACTGTTAGAGCAATTTTATAAAAGTAAGCTTGAACTTTCGATTATGTCAAAAAAGAATTTCCAATTCTGGAGCTGCCAAAGGATCTACAAAGCAAAGTCATGTTTTGATGTTCATCAAACAAAAAGTGGAATTGCTGCAAAAAACGGATAAAGGCATATCCTTTGTTTCTGTAACCATTCCGAAATCTGTTTATCAATTCCACGCTGCTCTGTGGGGGGGGGGGGAACGTCATGGCACGCAATGAACTGGAAGTTGATCTGTCAGCACTATCCTTATCTTCAGGGCAGATGTTTTTATTTTATTTGGCTTATAATTCCTTACTAAATCTAGTGTTTCATCTCTATGTACTCCGTCTTTGATATGATTTAAATCAAATTCCTCGTCAATATAAATATCACGAATACACATCAAATAGTTTTCTGGTTGCAATTTCCTAATTTCGACTATGCATGATGTATGCTCTACGCATGCGCGCGCTGAAAGAAATGTTTACTAAAGTAAACAAATAAATATTAAGCTTTTTTTTTGTAAATTTTGATACCCTTTAGATCATAATTGCTCTTTATTTCATAAATTACGGTTTCATATTTTTAATTTTATAATTTCTGCATGCCATCTTATTAGATTTAAACTGATGATCTATAATCTGGAATCGCCCGATGAGTCCGGATTAAAGACTTTTGACTGTATAATGTTATGACCCAGCTGAAGGCCATCCCTAAAAACGACTGTACCAGGACTTGTATAACCGTTCCCAGATATGCATTGTCCTCAACAGGGATACAAGGACAGTAACAGCTGTTTTATTTAAGAAAATTATCCATTATAACTATAGACACATTCACCAAACTTGCAGGACAGAGTTTGTATATTTATTATTTTATTTTTGAGAATAACAAAAATATCATCATAAATTGCTGATTTATCATAAGAAAGTTACAGAATAGAGCACACATTTTTCCAAGATAATCACATTTTCAGATGATTTGTTTTTTTTCTTTGGTCATCATTTTAACCCTCTGAGTGGCATGACTGGTTTTATCCGGTCATGAGAATTTTTATTTGGCATATATTAGCTTATAATTTAAGATATTTTGCTTTCTTACTTTCTTTAATAATGTAAATGCCATCTTAATGAATGTAAGTTTATGAAAATAGAGACTAAAATCAGCAATTATACAAATTCAATTAATCTGTTTGAATACTGGTTTTTCATGACACATCTAAAATCCTGTGCCACTCGGAGGGTTAAACAAATGATGTTCAATACCAGTGTTTATGTTTTCATAAAGACTGGTCGTTTTCTGAGGTAATCATCTTAAAGAGGTTATCACACAAGTAGGTTGACTATAATGTGATTGAGCTGCTTTTTATCTTAACTTTCCTTCCATGTTTTTCTTTGTGTGGTAAAAATTTTATAACATCTGATTCTTATTCAATCAAAATTCCTAATAAAAATATTAGCAATGTAATACTGTCTAGGGAAAAAGAGCACCTTTGATTATTAATAAATAATGTTCTAGATTTTATAATCCTATCAAAAAGTGAATCAGTGTCTTATTATATATTAACTCTTTCACATCGAAGTCGCCCAAAGCGCCCAAGCATTCAGACATCGGCTGGACGCCCGAAACGCCTGAATAATTTCCTAGCCAGTGCTTTCCCCCCATCACGTTACTGCATTACTCATTGCTTTCAGGTGTTGTTAAATCACACGTCAATCATTCTTTTTGAAGCTACTAAAAGTAGCTTCCTTGTTTCCTTTGTTCCTTCCTTTCCTTTGTTTACTGTCAGTGTTTAGCTTTTGATGACCAAAGTTGCAATCCCGTCCCAAGGGGGAACTTTACGCAGTGTCAAAGCATCGAAGAAAGAAGTTCTCGCTTTACTAAGTAAGGCTACTGTTTAGCGCTGTAGTATTCAACTTGTCATGGGGGGAAGGAAAAGCATTTCAAGAGAAATTCTTAGATACGGGCGTTTTCGATGTTTGGGGAATTGAGATTTTGTCCTCTCTCGATGCGAAAGAGTTAAGATATTGAAATATTGAAATTATTGAAAATATTGGAAATATATATATTGAAATTGAAAATATTGAAATTAAAATTTACTAAATCTACTAAAAACAATGAATGCTTAGAAAATATTAATTCATTACAGTGCTTAACACAACATAAATGGTAATATTTTCAAGATGATCATCATATGTATTTTCTTTCTGGCTTGAAACTTATCACTACAGAATTTTTTTTTTACTCCCTAGTATTCCAGTGGATAACACAGAGAGTGTCGCATTATTTTCACCTGAATGCGATGTTGGGGTTGTTACTCAGGTCATTAGATTAACATTTTGGCCTCAGCGAGAATCCCGCCAAAAGTACACCTTGCAAAAACAAATGGGACTGTTCCTAAATCTCCCATTCTATTGCACAGATTGTCAAAATTTAACTTGTGTTTTCCATGCCTCGAAAGCTTGGCTTAGGATATATATTAAGTTTATACAGTACAAAGTCCATAATCCGGACTCATCGGGACTTCGGCGATTCCGGATTAGGGGTTTTTCCAGATTATAGATCATCAATTTAAATTTGGTAAGATAGTGTGCAGAAATGATACAGTTAAAAATATGAAATCATAATTTATGAAATAAAGAACAATTATGATCCAAAGGGTATCAGAATTTACAAAAAAAAAAAAAAAAGCTGATTATTTATTTGTTTACATTATTAAACATTTCTTTTAATGTAAGTTGTTTAAGATGCTTCCCACAAAAAATTCAAAAAGTTCCTTTTTCTTGTGTCATGTATGGTAGACTTTCCAATGACATACTTTTCGCATAATTTTGAAACGGATAGGCCTTTATCCATTTTTTGCAGCAATTCCACTTTCTGTTTAATGGACATCGAAACATGCTTTCGCTTTGTAGATCCTTTGGCAGCTCCAGAATTGGAAACTCTTTTTGACATAATCGAAAGTTCAAGCTTAATTTTTATAAAATTGTTCTAACAGTCTGCAAAAAATAATAAGCCGGATCCAATTAGAAGATTAAGGAACAGCACAATCTGCAACATTAACTGAAATGCCATAGATAATTTTAGCCTAGCTTATACCGTCCGTTATACATTAAACGCGCATGCACATAAAGTTTGTAGCTTTGACGTCCGGATTATAGATCATACCGGATAATGGATGTCCGGATTACAGACTTTGTACTGTATATAACATTGTTTTAACATAGGTATTTTTACACAAAATCGAACTTTTCTGAAATAACATACCAAATTTTTTTCCATATTTCGATCCTACAACTCGTGCCTAAATAGTAAATTTTGGAATTTTTGGAATTAAAAAAATTTAAAGAAATTTAAAAATTTATCTTGGCTCATTTTTTTCAGTTTGTGCCAAGAATAATTCACTTGGCGAAATTCTTAATTTACAGTAACCTACTTAATTTCCCTTTTTTTCATTGGTGCATGAGCAGAAAAAAGCTACATCGTTCATTGTTTCAAATCGTTTTAACAAAGTGCGTAAACCACATTTTCATTACCGCTTATAATAATACATATGTCAAAATGTAAATTCATTTATATATTAGGAAATTTTGAATAAAAGACTCTAATTTTTTCCAGGTATGCTTAGAAATGTGTCTACTTTAAGAAGATGATAAAAGTTTTATAGATTATAATTCAAAATTTTTTTCGAAACATTTATAAAAATTATTTTAAAATACAAATTTTGAAATGTTAAACAAGAATAAAAGAAGTTTAATAAAAAAAAAGGCATTAATAAATATAAACCAAGTTCAATTAACATGGAGCACCTAAAATTTTGAGAACTAATTTTTTAAAAACTACTCGTAATTTTTGTACAAAATTTGGCACATGATTTGAATTGTAGAATCGAGATGTGGGGAAAAAATTTGTATGTTATTTCAGAAAAAGTCTGATTTTTGTGTAAAAATACCTGTTAGAACAATGTTATATGTAAATCTAAAATATATTCTAAGCCACGCTCTTGAGACATGGAAAAGGCAAATTAAAATCAATTGACAATCAATCCAATGGAATGGGAGAAACCTGCAGACTTAGGCTATGTGTAAATGGAATCAAATCATTTTGTTCACTTATTGTGACAATAAAATATTGACATAATAATACGTTAGCATACTTATGTTAATGTCTTTTATTTTATAACATTCTTAACATGTATTCATCTCATTTTTAGTCAATATGTGTACAGTGGTTTTTCCCAAAATTCTTTATTTCAAATGTGAATTCATAAACTTTAATTCGTTTAAGTTTCCTAGCTTGCCAATGTTAGGAAACAGAAATTAAGTATAAAATATCATTAAATCGTATATTAATAATAAACTTTTGCTTATGATATGTGTATTAGTAATCACAATCATAAGATTTTTTTATAATCTATTAAAGAGTATTTTGTGATTGATTTATAAGCCATGCGTAGTGTACTATAAAAAAACTATGAATAAGTCTCAACATCAGAAATCTCCATTACAACTTTCTGAATGTAACAGAAATGCATATTCATTCCTTAGTCTTAAGTATTTATATCAAAACCTTATTCTAACAAGCACACATATATATATAACATCATTTGTTTTTTTTAGATTATAGATGCCATATCCAAAGCCATCCGTTCTACTGAAGGTGTCTCCTTACTTGATATTGATCCCGGTCCATCAACTAATAGAACAGTCTATACTTTTGTTGGTTCACCAGATGCTGTAATAGAAGGTGCTTTAAATGCAGCAAGAGTTGCATATGATCTCATAGATATGTCAAAGCATAAAGGTATCATTATTACTCTATAACAGTTAAGTTTTATAAGAAATCTTTATCGTGAAAATTTTTTGTTAACCACTTCAAATAGGTCTTCTTTACTGCTTGTTACATTGTGAAGCAGAATAGAAATTTGCCATGCCTTATTCTGCTTGTATGTTTTAGAAAATGTATAAATTATTTTTCGCTCCATGAATGCAGTTTGAATTTGACGGTAAAAAATTGGTACAACAACCTCATAAATTAAGTTTCTAATACATACCGCCATTCATTATCCTTTAATCTAAAAATATTAATATTTAATAATTTAGTTAAAGATCCGTGTTGTATACTATAACATCAACTATAAACTATCTTATGATAACCTGTGGGTGAAATTTACCTCCAATTTTTAAGAAAAAATGAAGAGAAAAAATATTTCAATAAAATAAAAACCTAGAGCCATCAAATTTTGAATAGCGTAATCCTCCACCCAAAAGCCTGAATTTTGAATTTGTTTTATTATCTATTTCAGACTTCAGATTTTTAGAACTTTCATAAATTTTTTGATTAATAAACACAACAGTTTCAAAGCAGCCAATGGCAACACTGTACGGGGGGGGGGAGTTTTTATCTCCAACTCATGAGACTATCTATCAGAAATTCTAAAGATATGCTGTTTTTTATATTTTGTGATATTGCTGTTGAATTGAATTTTATGTGGTTTAAGTGCAAAGAACATGATGTTTAATAAATGAAGATTACACACAAAACGTTGGAAAAAAAAAAGACCCTTTGGACATAATATAAAGTCTGAAAACTTTACTATTTTTAGTCCAAAGGAGCTTTGTCCCTAAGGGACTATTGTTTTCGTTTTGCAATTTTGTGTTGAATCACTCTGAATGACCATTTCACTTTTCAAACTGTTACAACCGAATATTATTGCCCTATATTATATTTGAAGAAATTAAATAATGAGGAAGCTGCATAAATGTTGTTATGTTTCTCGTATTGTAATCAAACAATGATACCTAGAGCCATCCAATTTTGAATGACGTAATTTTGCTGCGAATATGGCTATCTGGAAGCCCAAAATTGAAATTTGGAATTTGTTTTATTATCAATTTCATATTTTGTAAAACTTTAATGAATTTTTGATTAACAAACTCAAGGATTTCAAAACAACCAATAGCAAAGTTGTACAGAAAAAACATTTTTATCTCCAGGGCATGAAACTGTGTATCGGAAATTCTAAAGATATGCTTAATTTAAAATTATTTTGTGATATTGCTCTTGAACTGAATTGTATGGTTTAAGTGTGAAGAACATGATATTTAATAAATACAGGTAACACAGAAAATGTTACAGAAACCCTTTTGAACGTAATTTAAAATCTGGGGAAGTTGCCCCCAAACCTAACTCTTTAATTACTCAATTCGTGTTTTGTCATCTGTTATAGGCAAGGGTAAAAGTAAAATTCAAAACCAAAAGTAAAATCAAATGTTGTGAATATATTTTTTAAATAGAATGTACTGGCTGAGATAAATATCTTGCATCCATCTGTTAATTTCAATTGGAGGAACTTTTTTGCATTGTTAAAAATTCAATAATGACATGCTGCTTGAATAAAATATTTTCAAAACAATTTTTAAGAAAATTGTTTTATTTTGATATACATAAAATGGGATCTGTAAGTACCTGATTATTAAAGAGAGGTACCATATGATTACACAGAATTAATTTATCTAGATATGTCTAGTGTAATAAAAATATTTGAAGCAAAGCTTATTAATCTGCTCTTGTATTCTTATTTTATTTCATAAATGAATGTGTAAATATAAAGCACTTATCATTTTTTCTGAATCTATACTATTTAGGAGAACATCCTCGTCTTGGAGCTCTTGATGTTTGCCCATTTATTCCTGTACAAGGCGTAGAAATGGAGGAATGTATATATTGTGCCAGAAAATTTTCCGAAAAGTTAGCTGCAGAATTAAAAGTTCCAGGTTTCGTAGAATTGTTTATTTCACATATGCTTTCTAACTGTATATATCATATTTGTGATTATTCTGAAAATTTTACTTAAAATTGTAAAACATGAAGAAATACCTCTAAATTCATTTTAAAACAAACAGTGCTTTATTGTCAACAAATTATGAGATATTTGTAACTTATGTAAATTAAGCATTAGCAATTAAAATTGTAAGCCTTAATTTATATGATCAAAATAATTGTTTTAAAACTATGCACTAAAAACGAGTAACATTATTGAAATTTTTGCCAACCAAATGGCCAGTAATATAAAGTCACTGAACACTGTTAGTTATACCCAAGTTCAAATATCAACAAAAAAATTTTTTGGGGAAAACTGCCAAAAAATTTAAGAACCTAATGTTTAAGGGAAAAAAAATTATTGCAAGCATTTGTTTATGTAGAGAGTTTATTTTGAAGTTTCTTCTTTTATGATGCGTACTTATATTGTTGAATGTGTCAACTGTTTTGCATATGTTGTAATTAATAAATTTTTCAAATTTATTTTCTAAAAAGAAAAGTGAAAGGAGTTATAAGAACTCAGCAAAAAGATTTTATTACTGTTCTATGCAAATAAATGTATAGCCTGAATTTACGTAGCTCACTACTTTTTAAAATGAATTTATTTTCCTTTATTTTTTTCTTACGGCAAATCATTTGTTATATCCATTCAGTACATTTTTCTAGAGATATAATTCATTTAGTGTACTCTAGTTTCAAATATTTGCTGAGTCAGATAACTTTTGTACAAAAGTCATCATGATCTACTAGTTTTATTCATGATGTATGTAATCTTTAGATACATCATTGCCTTATTGCTCTGTTATTATGCAGATTTCTCAAAACTCTGCATACAAACCTTAAATGTAGATAGAGAACATCAGTGTGAATTGTATTTACATAGGAAATTGGGACCATATGGTGCTGTATGAAAACATTTCCTGTCGGCATCTCCTTTCCAACACTGTGGAAAATAGACATTGTTTATGAGTGCTGACATGTATTTCATGTATGGGTTGGTTGACAGTAATGGACAAGCTGTTGCAAGAATGTGTTGTAAAAGATCCTTTTGACATTTGCATTAGAATCATCATGAATATGGATCTTCAGCATTAGAATGCAGAGTGCGCTCTAACTCCCATTATGGAAGAGAATGTGTTGCATGCTGTGCATAGTAATTCAGGCTGCTACTGTGAGAACATCTCAAGCCATTGTATAGTATGTTCTATGTGTCTCGGTTTTCCTCTTTCATTTGCAATACATTTACACAGATGGAAGGTTACGTATTGTGTGTATCATTTGTGCCGTGAAAACTGGGCAGTCTGGAATTTCCAAGTTGTGGTCTATTTTTGGACGAAGTGCCTTTTTTCCATGAAGGAGTCTTCAGTCTCCCCAGTGCACACATGTAGGTTCAGGAGAACCAACAAGCTATGCAATCGTGTATTGCATAATGTCACTTTGCTATTAATGTGTGGCTAGGTCTATCTTGTGGATGACTGTTCACTTAGCATCTTCCTGTTATCATCTGACTGGATTCTCAGAAGTATTAGACTTTTCTGGAGAAGACTTTGCCTTATTAATGAATTTCTCGTGATTCTGCATCACCAGTTTTTGTTCCAGCATAATATGGCTACAGCCCATTATGCTATTTTCGTATCTGAGTTTTGGACTGGGTCTTTGCGCTCAATAGATTTGGCCTGGTGGCATGTCACATAGCCCATATATACATGTAATTTATGCTAAAGTGATGTTTTCCTCCCAGAAGGACCTTCAAGGCCATTGTGTATACATAACATCTGTTGCTTCTGATGTGAAAATTTTATGGCAAGAATCGCTTATTGCCACTGCTATTATCCATGAAATTCTAAATATATTTGGAAATATTTAACAATCCATGCAGCATTGGTTTCAGTCATGCAACACTGTGAGTGGTTAGAACTTTAAACATCTCTTGTGAAACCACATATTATATGTTGGTACATGTATATGGTTGGAACTTTGAACATCTCTTGCAAAACCACATATTATATGCTACTAGTTCTAATAAAGCATTTTATACTGCTTTCTATATTATGTGCTTGCTGTGTGTTTGTATCTTTTGTCCCTGGTGGTTGAAGTGTCCGATCACCAGGATTTGTACAATCCTTAAAAGTGCTTAGTTAAAGTCCTTAATTTTACTCATTTCTATCTGTTACAACTGCCATTTTGAGTACAAATTAGTGTTTTGGAGCACTATGTTTTCATGATGCTTTGATAAGTATATATTTGATGAGTTTACATTTGAATTCTTTTGTACTTCTTCATATAAATGGTGGGTACTTGAGTTTTAGGCATGAGGCCCCACCTCAAGTTGAAACATAAATATTTTGAAATAATTTCTTCTTTGCAAGTGTTCATAAAATATTAGAAACAAAAAAATAAAAACAAAAAAAGTCTCTCTTTGGGATATGTGTTTTTATATTATGCAGTACTGAATTTGGCAATTTCAAGATCAGTTTGTACACAGAAATTTTTATTCAGACATTTGCAGTTTTTTTAACATTTTTTTACAAATACAATAATTGATAAATATAAAAATAATAATGCATTAAAATTAGATTTAAGAAATAACATTAAAGTAAAACATTTTTATTTTCTCCTGCCGTATTTTAAAGTGACATCACTTCCCATTTTCATGACTTAGGTATATCTTGATTCTGAAAAATAAGCAAGATAATAAATGCTTTAAAGCACTGAAACACTTCTTAGAAAAAGCAAAAATGCTGCTGTAATAATTTTAAAATTAATTTCATTTGTCTTCATTTATATTTTTTCATGATAAGAGTTTTTCCCCATATAATTGTTGCAGAATATTTAAATATATATCACTTTTCTCTTGGAAATTCAGTTTACACATTTTTAATCAGATATTCCCCACCTTTTTTTTTTTTTTTTTTTTTTTTTTTAAGAGCTGGTAGGGATAATTTTTGTTTTGGATTTTAGATCTTGCATCTGAAAGGTTTAGAAGGATTTGAATCCAAGATTTATAGACCTACAGTTTCCAGAAAAAATGTGACAAAATGATAATGGTATTAACATATAATGGACATGTTTTGTAGGAAATTTGTGATAAAATTTCTTATCTTTTGGAGAATTTTTGGAAGAACAGTGAAAACAAAATTATTTGAATTTCTCTTTTAGATCCCAGAAATGTTTCTCTTAACATGTTTATCTTCCATTTATTTTCTTATCTTTCTACAAGACATGTATGAAGCATTGAAGCAATCAAAGAAATTAAAAACAAACAATTTATTAAAAGATTCATCACATGTGTCTTCAGTGCACCTCGCATACCTCAATGCTTACCTCAAATTTTGTCCTTAATTTTGTTCCTCGGTGCTTTACTAAATTCTAAAAATTCTGCCTCACTTGCTCTGGCATTTCATATTTATTCTCAATACTCATATTATTAAAAAACAGACCAAATAGTTTCTTTTATATATTATAAGTACAAGCAGTTCTTTAGAATAACAGAAATCTTTACAATTCTAAAATGAAGAGGAAACTCATTGGAAAAGAAATTTGTTTTATAAAAAAATAAAAAATTATTCTTCAAAAGTACATTGTTGAAAACATTAACAAATTAGGAAATGAAGCAGGGATTAATGGAAACATTGATTTGTTTATTGAAACAAATAAACTTAAAGAGAAGGAAACTGATGTAAATTAGCTAAAATATCTGGAAATTTTTTAAGTTACAAAAACGTATAAACATTTTGTTGTTCGTTGTTGTTACATGTTTTGTAGTGTTTAATGTATTATACTTGTATCATTTTAGAAACAATATCATAAATTATAATTGCTATGAAAGTTTCTTAGTCCTTTTTAATGGCTATCTATTTTTTTAGAAATAAAAGAAAAATATAACTGGAACTACGTAAATCTATTATGGTTAAGAGTAACTATGTGATTTAATTATTTGCAACTAACCACTCACCCTTAGAATTTATCTCTATGTGTTAACAGGTGTTATCTCCTTTCATTAATCTTTAATGTGGATGCAAAATACAACATAAAAGTGTAAAAATTAACATAAACTTTATTCCTTACAGCTAATGAGACTTAAAATAACAGAAAATGACTGACCATCTCTGGTGCTTCAGTGGCTTATAGGAATTTTATATTAAATACTGTATATTAAGTGGGTTACAACTCCAACGAATCTGTGCAAAGCTATGACACTAACTGGGTCAGGGAAAGTGCAGCTAACTTTCAAAATTTACCAACGGTACCAATGTCAAGCATTCACATCTGTTCTAATCAGCGGCTATCTGTCCCTAATCAAGCAGCTGCAGTGAAAACAGCCAAGCTTTTGTTATGAATCATGCTGATTATTATTTTACTTCACAATTAACTTATGCCACTTGATATAAGATTTGCATTAACACCTGGACTGAGCAAATACGTAACAAAATTAGACATAAAAGAAAGAATCAATATAAAGCTAACTATTGGTAAAATTTAAATAAAAAGCTACTAATCTTTTTTAAAATAAATATAAATGTTTCGAGAAATTTTATAATTTATTGTTACTTACTTGGAAAAATTTATGAAATTAATTTTATTCTCAATTTTGTTTCTGATTAAGTTAAAATGCATCCTACTGTACATAATAAATAATGCATCCTACTCTCAGATTTACTTTATTATTACAAATTGCAGAATTTAAGTTACAAAAGTGAAGTTCGGGTTAGATAATTGCTTTAGTTTATTCAGTTCCTTGTTTGTTTGATAAGTCCGTAATTTTTTTTCATTGATGGTCCTTTAAAGTACTTGATTTCCATGTGAAATGTTTACAAACCCAGAATCATGCTTTCCTTTATAAATATGGTTTAACCTGATGTTCTTTACCTCCCCTTAAAGATTTGATGTGGAGTTTTGCAATACCCTGTATATCTCTGATGTAAAAAATCATACATAGTTATTGATAAATAATCTAGCTGTTCAACCAAACTGTCAAAATCTTGATTATCCAAAGTACCACTTAAACATGTCTTAATTTAAAGAAAAAAATATTTTGTTCTAGTGCCTAATATGGTGGTACTTTCTTAGATTGATGCTGATGTATTTTATTAAACAAAATGTAAATTACTTCTTTATTGCATTGCTGTTATTTTATATCAACCGTTTATAATATTAATTTTAAAATTTATTCTTATCATTATTATTAATATTATTTATTTTTGGGGAGGGGCATTGTCCCTGAAGGACTATTGTTTTAGTTTTGCAATTTTGCATTGGTTCACTGTAAATGTCCGTTTCACTTTTCAAACTGTTACCATGAAATGTTAGAATTCTGCATTATATTTGATGAAATTAAATAATGAAAAATCTGCATAAATGTATGTATAATTCTTGCATTGTGATAAAACAACACCATCGAATAGAGCCATCGAATTTTGGATGACATAATCCCACTTCGAATATGGGCATGTGGAAGCCCAAATTTGGAATTTATTTTATTATCGATTTCATATTTTGTAAATCTGTAATGAATTTTTGATTAACAAACTCGAGGATTTCAAAGCAAGCCATGGCAACGTTGTACAGCAGAAACATGTTTATCTCCATCGGAAATTCTAAAGGTATGCTCAATTTAAAACTATTTTGTGATATTGCTCTTGAACTGAATTGTATGGTTTAATTCCGAAGAATGTGATATTTAAAAAAAGAGTGTGACAACCAAATAAAGGTAACAGACAAAATGTTAAAAAAAAACCTCTTTGGATGTAATTTAAAATCTGAAAACCTTCCGTTTTTTTTTTTTTTTTTTTTTTTTTTTTTTTTTTTTTTTTTTTTTTTTTTTTTGATTAAAATGTATGTAAAATAATTAACAGCAAACTAATATTTCAGTTTACCTCTATGGCTTTGCCTCTGAACAGGAATACAGGAAAACAGTTCCTCAGATCAGAGCAGGGGAATATGAAGGAATTCTTGAAAAGGTATTTCAGTGAGTATTCAATTTATCAGTTAGGTAAAATATGTTTTTAGAAATTTTTTTGTGTGTTTGTGCTGCTTTAAGAGCAATATTAGTTGAATTTCAGTTCCATTGTACATTATTACAAACCCAAAGTATGTTGAATCAAATACAGATAGATCAAATAGAATTGTGGAAATATAATACACAATTCAGTTTCTGATCAAGCTTTCTTCCTGAGAATTATTTTATTACAATAGCAGTTAAAATATTTTTCATTCTTTTTAAATTTATTTAGAATAACTCCCCCTCCCCTGTTTGTTGTACTGAAATTAAAGAATGTATCTTAAAAATTCAAGAAAATGGGATTTTTTTATTGTTATTATTTGCAACAGAAGAACTGTCCTCAAACTGTTACTGCAGAAGATCATGCTCAGAATATTTTGTATGTTATTATCCAGTTTTTTATTCAAGATGTTCTTTTTCTGTTCTCAGTAGATAACTTTTTTGGTAATTGTAATATATTCCATAAAAAGCTTGGTACTTGCATATTAATGCAATTTAATGTTTTACAAATTAAAAGGTAGAAGTTACTTATTGGGTGCAAATTAATGGTTTTTCACGCTTAAGAATTTTTAAGGAAGATTACTAAACTATCGAGGTTTTATAGTAAGTCAGTGAATATTATCAACATATGAAAAGAAAAATACTTCAGTTGAAAAAATAAATTTTAATTATTAAATAAGAATTACATGCTACATTGAAAAAGAAATAAAACACATTCTTCTTCAAGTCTTTCTGTAATTTTTTGCGCTATTCTTCTCCTGAAATATATAGCAATCTGTTTTCGCTTAAAAAAAATCAGAGTTACGAAGATTTGGCTTTGTGCCAACCTCGGCAGTTAGTGGCTGTCTATGAAGCACGTTTCCTCATTGTTCCTTTTAGAAAATTTCCAGTAAAATTTTGTGTTCATGCAAAAATTTTACTTTATTTTTTTCCACAGCTGAAAATTTTGCAAGCTCCTATTTTAAAACTAAGTGGAAAAATATCGGGTTTTGTGTACAAAAACTGTTGAAACTTGGAATACAGCAAAAAAGAACACATACAAAAATATCAGCATTGCTTGACTGAAAGATTGTTTCGATGATGGTTGCCGGAAGAATGATTATGGGTATGGTTGCCAGAGTTTGGCACATTCTGAAAATTTGGTGACTTCTACTAAGGTGGCTGCATTAATACATAAGTACCAATGACATTTCCATTTCAATGTTTGAAATTTCAGGTACCATGACCAACACATAAAGTTTGTAAGCATAGTAATAAATAAATAATATTTAAAAAAATTTACATAATTAAAAAATAAGAAAATTAAAAAATAAATTTAATAATTATTCTTTTTCTTTTTTCCCCTTAGCTCTGTTCTCTTAATATATACATATATAAAAAGTTAACAGATTTAACTCTCAAATCTGTTAACTTGCTAGTTATGGATTGAAAATTGCATAAATTTATTTATGTTGAGTTCATTTATACTGAAGTTACGTATTACTTAAATATTTACTAGAATTACAGAAATGTGTAGTTAAAGAAGGGCATTCTTATTATTTTAGTATTAAATAGTTTTATATTACAGATAGTCAAACCTGAATGGAAACCAGATTTTGGACCAACTGAGTTTGTTCCAAATTGGGGAGCAACAATGGCTGGAGCAAGAAAATTTCTAATAGCATATAACGTGAATGTTTTAGGTACCAAAGAGCAAGCCCATAGAATTGCTTTAGATATCAGGGAGCAAGGCAGAAGTAAAGATGAGGTAATATTCTTTCTTTCCCCCTTCCTAGTATTTTGAATTTTCTCCTTGTTCTTCCGAAATATTTAATCCTAATAATTTTATCATGGATTTTATAAGGATTAAATTTATTTTAAATAATTTAGAAATTATCTTCTAAGTGTGTGTATCTTATTTGCAGCCTGGTAAGTTAAAAAAATGTCAAGCTATTGGTTGGTGGTTAGATGAAGCAAATATTGCTCAAGTATCTATTAATCTCACAGATCATGATGTCACCCCTATACATATTGCTTATGAAGAAGTGAGTACAGAAAAAAGTTGATTTTTTATTAAGAAATAAATTATTGATTTAAGTTTATTGTCCATTGCAGCCAAAGATGAAAATACATAACTTTTAGAAATGGTATATTGCATCAAAATAACAAATAATATAGTAAAATGTGTATATATTTGTGAAATATAAATGTAAAAAATTGCTAGTTCTTTTTTAAAAATTTATGTCAACTATTTTATTGTGTCTACTTCCTCTTAGTGGATGTATTAGATTAGATCTAAAAAATAACTTATGCACTTCTTAAACTCTACTGTCATAAATGACCAAGTGGCTAAGACTCATCTTAGATTTGGATCCCCTTAAAGAAGTTGGCTGGCTAAATTGGATTTTCAGGATTTTTCCCATATGCAATATATAAATACAACCCAGTTTCCTTTAAAAAATCTTCCATGAAGCTGTTCTTCCTAATGCAAGTAATCCTCTTATGCTTCACCCTAATTAATTTACCAGACAAAACCGTAAAATAAATTTCATAATTATTACAAGGTTGATAATAATTTTGTGTTATGTTTGTATAATTTAAAATTATTAAAGATTGTAAAAAGCATGAAATTGTTTGAGGTGAGTTTCATGATTAAGTTCTGCTAATCTGTTACTACTGTAAAGTCCTGAAAACATTCAAAATTGATTGAACTGCAGCCTTTGTTTGCTATGTACTTTAATAAAAAGGACTGTATGTATTTCAAGATTGATACAGGTCTTTCTTTTTCAGGGTTTGGAAATGTGTTACATTTATTCTAATGATTCCATCACCTTTGTGCTGTTTCATTTGTTGATTATATAATAAAAACACTGAAATTATAAAATAACTGTAAAATTCTATAATGCTTCTTGAAGTTGCAAAACCTGTAACATTTCTTTCCCTCCCCCCCCCCAAAAAAAATAAGTACATTCTTATCGCTAAAATGAATGGTAAAACATTTTGCAGTTAATATAACAGTAAAATTTAAAACATTACTTAAAAGTATATTTTTCTTCAATATCATACTCTTCTAGTCCTTCATTGTTCCAATTTAGATAAGTATATATTATGACTATGTATTATATTTAATTTTATTGAATGGTGCAATGTATCAGTTTTTTTAATTGTTTAGTAGTTTCATTTATATTTAAAATATAAAGTATAAGGAAAACCCTATTTATTAAAAATTATATGAAACTCTTTTCATTGAAATATGTATTTTTGTATCTTAGGTTTGTAAAGGGGCCAAAGAATTAAAGTTAGCTGTTACTGGTTCTCAGATTGTTGGAGTAGTTCCCTTGAGAGCAATGCTACAAGTAGCTGAATTTTATATAGCCAAAGAAAATCTGTTTGTTTTGGAAGAAGATCAAAAATTACATTTGGTATTTATTATTATTATTTATTACTGTTAAAGTACTGAGAATCCTCTCTATGATTAATTGAAAATAAACCTGAACTTTTTCCCTGGGCCAAATAATCTTAACATTAGTATTTTTATGTTTTTTTTTTTTTTTTTTTTAAAACTCCTTTGATGGTTGCAAGGTAATATCTGTGAATCGTCAATTTGTAATATGAGCTGTGTTCGTTTGTGCCCACTGTGGTGTGTAACTGGAATACAGGCTGAGCTCGCTGATAGCCATGAAAAAGTTAAACTTCAAAATTTACTAGTATTAGTGTAAATGAGGAGTAACTTTTTCATGTAAATTATGAATAAATTTCAGAAAAATGTTGACTTTTTTCTTTAATAAAGAGAATATATATATATATAATTTAAGAAAGGAGAACAAACTAAAAAAGACCTTTGTGATCAAGAATTTTGCATATATATATATTGTAAATCTGGATCAAAATTCAAGTGGGAAAAGCTAGTGTTTTCTTTAATTCTTGAAGCTGTGTGGTGGAGAAATGTAGTTGCACAGTATGTTATTTGATTCATTGTTCAATGTTTGATAGTTTGATGGGCTGACAACTAAGTGATTGCAAATTTTAAATAAGGAACAAAATTCAAAAATTTGCTTGAAAATATAACTTTATTAAATTAGGTATTGTTAATTTTTGTTGAAGATGTTCTGCCATCTTTCAGGCAGTGTCACAATTCCACTGTCATAAAATTCCTGAATTTTGTCAGGACAGGAAGAAAAAAAAAAAAAAAAAAAACTGAATTAAACAAGGTTTTACATCATTAATTAAAAATTTTACCATTTAAGGAGTTCTGTATGGAACGAAATAAAAAGAAATCTGAAGGTGCAAGGTTAAGGTTGCAAATCAGATATGACAACACATCCGAACCTAACCACAATAATTTTTCGTGAATAACCAAAGATGTGTGGGGCTTTGCATTATCGTGTTAAAAACAACACCTTTACAATTTGCCAATTTTGGCCACTTTTCTTGAACTGCCTTGCTCAGTTTGGTGAGTTGTTGAATGTAGGCATTTGAATTAACTATTTGGTTTCTTGGTAAAAGTTCAAAGGCAGAATTCCTTTATATCCCCATCAATCTGACAGCATAATCCTTTTTTTTTAGTCCAAAGAGGCTTTTTCTCTGAAGAACTATTAATTTCGTTTTGCCATTTTGCATCAGAACCCTATAAACGTTGACTCACTTTTCAAAATTGTGCTTATGTTTTTTGTTATGAATTGTGTTGGTTTTTGAGTTTGTTCTTTTGTTTGTATTGAGTTTGTTCTTGTGTTGGTGTTGGATTTATTCTTGTGTTGGTGTCGGATTTTGAGTTTGTTCTTGTGTTCGATTTTGAGTTTATATTGTGTTTGTTTGGCAAAATGGCACTTTGGATGTAATCTAAAATCTGAACCCTTTCAGATTTTTTCCCCATGAATTTCAGCTTTTGATGTTGTCTGGGTGGTTCATCTTGCTTCACCCATGATCTTCTTCAATAAAGGGTCCACTTTGTATTTTCATCACAAGTAATCAGTCATTTCAGAAATTGATCCATTTTGTTGCATTTCAGAAGCAAATAGTACTTGCTAATGCGTTGCATCAAATGAACTTCCTTAAAATGATGAGGGACCCATAAATGAGTTTCTTAAGACAGCCAGGCAATTTTAATTTTTGTAATGCATGTATGCAATACATTGAGCTTTTCTGCAATCTCACATGTTGTGCTATGACAGTATAAATCGATAATGCTCTTTCTGTGGCTCTCATTAGCTTTAACTGGATGGCCAGATTGTTGCACATTTCTGAATAAGAAAATTACCAGAACAAAATCTGGCAAACCAATTTTAACACTGCCTTTCTTTCAAGACTTCATTCTTGCATACAGCACATAACCTCTTATATGCTTGTAATGTGTTCCTGCCTTTTCAGAAATAATACAATAAAATGTGTCTGAAATGTACATTTTTCAATTTAAATAAAAACTAAACTAAATAGCTAATTGGAAGTCCTAGCAACAAGAAAATGTTATTGGTTAAGTTCTTTGAACTTGTTCACAAAACAAAAGAATGTGCTAAAATAATCTGTTGGCAAAATGCACAATCACTTAGTTGCCAAACCTATAGTTGTGTGGAGGAGGATTAAACATTATTTGTGTAACTTCACAGAAATTAGGAGCACTGCACTGTATGCTATTATATTATATTCCAGCTTAAAAATATGCTAATCATTATTAGCTCAAATGTTCTTACATAACAAGTAACTGTAAGAGTAAATTTGGTTAATGGTTACCATTATCATACTATAATGTATAAGAAGTAACTTAAAATCTTTGGAAAGAATTATACATCATTCACAAAGAAGTGGTAATTCTGGAAATTGGCTGGCTGTACTATCCTGACAACAGGCACCTGCTGCAATACTTCATAAGCTGAATCTGCTTGATGTTTTTATTTGGACCTAAATTTAAGATAAGGTCAATCACGAGGTACTGAAACAAACTTAAAACCCCAAAAGTCACTCTTAATGCTTTTGAAAACACATTGCAGTATTTTATTAAAGATCATCAGTAAACATACGAGGGTTGGGGCAAAAGTCATGGCAACTGTTTTTTTTTTCTTGTAGATATGTGAACAAATCACAAAACGTATATGTGTCATGTGGAAGTTCTGCAGGCATAGTGTGTATGAAGAACAACAGATGGCTCTGTGGTAGCGAGGGCTCTGAAATCAGTCAGTTGATGAGTGTCGTGTGAGATGGAAGTAACCTGTGTCGAGCAGCGCGCTTACATCAAAATAGCCGTTCTCCGAGGGAGAAATGCGATGGAATGTCACAGTGAATTAGTAGAAGCCCTTGGGAATAATGCCCTACCATATTGTACAGTAGCACAGTGAGTAGGAAAGTTTCAGCAAGGATGTAAGTCCACCAGTGATGAACAACATTTGGGACGACCGGTGAGTGTGTAGACCGACTTAGCACCTGCCATCATCGAGCACCTTATGGATGAAGACAGACGATGGACGTTACTGAAGTTAGAGAGGGCAAATGGCATCAAAAACACACCATCCACAGGATATTGCATAATGAGCTACAGCTACGCAAAATTCCTTCCCCAGTCAAATTGGATGGGTGATCGCATGCGTATGACAGAACGTTCAAAGGTGGGTGTCATTGTTTGCCATTTTGTTCCTCATGGCAGAACAGTGACCGCACAATACTACAGGGACTTCCTGATGCGACAGGTACGACGTGGCGTTCGGAATAAACTTCCAAATCTTGTGGACAGTGCAATAATTCTGCATGACAATGCAGGACCACGTAAAGCAGAGTGTGTATGGCAGTTACTCTGACGTTGGGGATGGGAAGAATTGGAGCACCCACCGGTACTCTCCTGACCTTTCACCCTGTAACTTTGATCTCATTCCCAAGATTAAGGAACCAATACGAGGTAGGCGGTTTGCAACGCGAGAGGACATTGCTAATGCTGTGCGCCAACAGATGACCCGATTCACACATGGTGCGGTAAATACTGAGGCTGATGGTATTCAGCACCTCCCACATCATTGGCAGCATGTGGTGACAATAGCAGGGGAGTACATTGAGGGTCTTTAGGCCCAGGTTTGTCATGTCAACTTTATGTGTATTGTGTTGTCATTCTTTTGCAAGGTGAAGGACATATTGCCCTGTATACTACTGTAATAAATTCGTGTGTTACGATATTTCAGTGCTATTCTTTGTCCACACATGTAGTTAAGACCTTGTGCTTTCGTCTGTATATGTCAAATTTTCCAACCGGACTGGTATCTTCAAGAAAAAAAATAGTTGCCATGACTTTTGCCCCCACCTACGTATAATTTTCATTCACTTCAAAAACATGATCAGTTGCCTGTTCCCTCCTCCCAAGTAGAGGCAAAGTGTCTGTTTAAAGTAAATAAATAAAAAAAAAAATCCTGAAATAGTTATGTCTTTCTACTATCTCTCTGTTGTCCTCTTTGAATAAAATATTTTGTTTATCTGAACAATTATTAATATCTTGTATTCAAATAACCAGGTAGTATGTTTAGATTGAATTACTTTACAGAATAGTGGATTGAAAACACTATAAATATATAATGATCTAATGATAATGGAATTTTGTCAGTGCTGCTATTTTTTATCAAGATATGCTTAAATTTTGAAGAATTTTACTTTTTTCTGTCTTTTAGGCAATCAATAGATTGGGATTACACTCATTAGGTCCATTTGTTCCTAAGGAGAGAATCATTGAATACATGTTACCAGATAGTGAAGCTAATTCTTTAACTAACAAAAGTATGCAGGATTTCATAAAAACAGTCGCTGCTAGAACACCTGCTCCAGGAGGAGGTTCTGTAGCGGCTGCAGTTGCAGCTATGGTAATTATTATTACGTATGGATTATATTTGATGTTAGTCTTTATTCTGTCCCAGTGTTAGTTTTAAATTTTTCATTATTATGTACTGATGTAGTTTCATTTCAGTGTTACGTAATATCTATTTTTTTCACTCTGAAAGTTAGACTCATAGACTGAAATTTTCTCATTCAAATTTGAAAATAATGTAAGGTATAAGAGCCACTGTATATAACTATAAATTGAAAAACTGCAATGAAAAAGGAATTGTATAAAATTTTTCGTAAAGTATTTGTATTCAAAAATTATGAAGCTAGTTTAAATTCAAAGCGTTTAGATTTCAGGAAATTTGTTTTTTAATCATTAATAAAATCTGAAATCAAATTTTAAAGTGAATAAATTAATTTAATCCCTGATGATTATTATTCTTTCTAAGTTTTGTTTAATGATTATATGACTTTTTCATGAAAGTTTAATAAAGACAGAAGTAAATTTTTATTTATGTAAAATTACCGTATTTGCCGGCATATAAGATGCCCCCCTTTTTTATACACATTTTTGAAGGATAAAACTTTAATACTGATCATTGTAATAAATTTACAATATTTTAAATATAAAGCAATACAACTACAAAGTAATACTTTCTGCAAATACCCAATCTATCTGGGGAACAATACCTTTTAATCTTCTTTGTCAAAGCCCAGACACTTATCTCCAGAGCTAAATGAAGAATCACTTGAAACCTCTTCTAAATCAGTATTTGAGTCCTCATACAGCAAACTGTGCCCTGTACCATGCAGTGCATTACTAATGCCACACTTTGTAAATGATTTAACCATTTTCTCTGTTTTCACAGCATTTCATGAAACTTTGACCCACTGACAAACGATGTATCAACAAAAAGGTGCACTCCGTTTTTCAGACCTATTTTCGAAGGAAAAATAGTGTGTCTTATGTGCCGCAAATATGGTAATTAGTAGTTAATGAACTGGTTACAGTATAAAGTCTGAAATTTGGACATTCATTATCTAGAATGATCTAATATCCAGCATTTTTTTTTTTTTTTTTTAGTCCAAAGGGATTTGAATCCCGAAGGACTATTAGTTTCGTTTTGGCATTTTGCGTCGGACTCATAAATGTCGGTTCACTTTTCAAACTGTTGCCACAAAATGCATTATATTTGAAGAAATTAAATAATGAAAAATCTGCATAAATGTATGTATATTTCTCGTATTGTGATAAAACAACGGTACATAGAGTCATCGAATTTTGAATAACGTAATCCTCCAACGAATATGAGCATGTGGAAGACCAAATTTGAAATTTGAAATTTGTTTTATGATCGATTTCCTATTTTTTAAAACTTTGACGAATTTTTGATTAACAAACTCAAGGATTTCAAAGCGAGCAATGGCAACGTTGTGCAGAAAAAACATTTTTATCTCCAGCGCGTGAGTCTCTGTATCGGAAATTCTAAAGATATGCTCGTTTTAAAACTATTTTGCGATATTGCTGTTGCACTGGATCTTATGGTTTAAGTGCGAGGAACATGATATTTAATAAAGAAAGGTAACACACAAAATGTTAAAAAACACCCCTTTGGACGTAATTTAAAATCTGAAACATTTCAGTTTTTTTTTTTTTTTTTTTTTTTTTTTTTTTTTTTTTTTTAAGGATATGTTTTCTTTACAGAGTCTCGAAATGGATAATCCTCAAGAAAAAGATATACCACAAAAGGGATTTTTTTCCCCTGACTGTTATTTTTTTCTGGCTGGGGAATCGCACAGTGGCCATTGACAATACATTAATTGATGTTGGGCATGACCTTACATTCAACCTTTGAGTGGTTGTGAGGGGGGAGGTTAGAATTTTGCTATCTGTACTAAACAATAAGTGAAGCCACAAGATATATTTGTATGGAGTGGGATGTTTCTCATGCTGGTCTTCTTTGTTGGCATATCATTGGAGAAGGGGTAAAGAATGAGATTCTGAGGAACTTAAGTTCAGTTAACATAATAAATTGTGCTTTTCCTAAGCTTTCTAATTTTACCCAGCTTATTATTTTTTGCAAGCAATTAATGTTACAACTATCTTATCAAAATCAAAGTTTGAATTTTTGATTATGTCTAAGTGTTTCTAATTCTGGAGCTGCAGCAGTATCTGCAAAGCAAAAGTATATTTTCATGTCAATAATTAAAAAGTGAAATTGATAAAAACATATCTATCTCAAAATTATGGGAAGAGTATAGCATTGGAAAGTATATGACATAAAAAACTGAAAAAGGAGCTTTTTTGAAATGGATTCTAACACTCTATTTGCAATGAAATTAGAAAAATCATTTGTTATACTAAAAGTTGTAATTGTGACAACATGATGATTGAATGGGTGATACAGCATGGTAGTGGCATTATTATAGCAAGATAAAATATTTTGTTAGGAAATTGACTTAGAAACTAAGTGCATATATTCAACATATTTGTTAACCAAATTTTAAAATCACCTTGCTATAAGTTAGTTAAAAATTTCAGATTAAAATGCTTCAGCCAATATCAAAAAGGTTTCAATTCATAGTTAAGAGAGAATTTTTGATATGGCAGTTATAAGACTTGAACAATGGAATTTTGTAACAGAACAGGAAATTATGTCTGTCTGTAAAATTAAAGAGAACAAAAATGATACAGATTAAACTACTTAATTGAGAGAAATGATTAATAAAGCAAACAAATAAATAAATATTGAGTATTCTTTGTAAATTGTGATTTTCTTAAAATCTTAAATAAATTCTTCATTATTTTATTGAAAACTATTTTGTATTTTTAATGTTATAATATCTATATGGCATCTTATAGATTTAAACTGAAAACACCGAAGTCCTTGTAGTTTCAAATCTCGGGCTGTGTGCTGTATATCATTATTTGAATGATTTTATTTTTAACTAATGAATCCAGTTTTACAATAAGGAATTTGTATAAACTTCATGTAACTCTTATGTCACTTCCAAAATCAATATAGTACCTTTTACTGGCTTTATCTTTTTAAGAATTAGTTTCAACTATTTAAGAATTAGCTCGTATAACTAATGCATATGTAATACTTGTATTGTGAAAAACTCCACCTTGCTTATTACAACAAGTTAAATATACTAGCGGGCCAGGCTGCAGCCAAAGCAAAATTTGTAAGTTCCATGACCCCTGAAAAGCAAATGTATGAAAACATTTCAATATGAAAGAAATTAGTTCATTTTTTCCAAGCAGCAACCAATTCGTAAATAATGTTTTTATTGCCGAAACAGGAAACAATAACATTTGAGACTTCAGTTTAATACGTATGATGTCATGATTTGACTTTAATGTAATATAACATTTTCTCAATAATAATAAAAGAGTTAATGTGTCAGTTATAATAACCTGAAACCAAAAAGTTGCCAACAACAGCTGTTTATTTAAAATGCTTATATTAACAAACAATTTTCAACATACAGTGACATCACATGCATTCGCGTGCTTCAGAATATGACTTTATATAATAATAATACTATGTTTAATGTTTGGCAGTGTTATTTTTATTTCATATTTTGTAAAGCTTACAATTTTTTTTTTTTTTTTTATTAACAAACTCTATGATTTGAAAGCAAGCAGTGGCAACACTTCTTGAAATAAAGCAAATTTTTATCTCCAATGGGCAAGACTTTTGCCACTTGGAAATATGAGTATAAAAATTAGTGTTTCCAGAATTTTTAATGAATATCTCAGCTGATTAAAGTCATACGAAGATGGTAACGGTTGAAATAGCTTCCTAAGAATTTTTTGGAATCAAGAATAACATATTTAATGTTTGGCAATGCTGTTTTTATTTCATGTTTTGCAAAACTTCGAAATTTTTTATTAACGAACTCTATGATTTCGAACACTTCTCGAAATAAAGCAGGCTTTTATCTCCAGCGTGCGAGACCGTTGCCACTCAGAAAAATGAAGGTGAAAAGTAGCATTTTCAGAGTTTTTAATTAATATCATCGAAAATTAGTCATATGAAGATGAGAATAGTTAAAATGTCTTCTCATGAATTTTTGGAATCTGGGTCCAAGGGGCCTCTCTCGAAACTCAACTCCCTGCCGCTCTGGAAAAAATAATGCCGTAAACAAGAAAAAATAATGCCACAACAAGCAAACAAACAGACAGACATGCATAAATTTTAAGAGCATAGATTGTGATTTTTGAATCAAGTGAAAACAGATCTAAAACAAATATTTTGTTGCTAGTTTGGTAAAAAGATTTATTTATACAAAACTGACTTTGTTGAATGTAATTTTTTAATGTTTTTATAAAACATTAAAACTGATTAAAAAAATTATAAAATATTTTCTTTTCCCATGCCTCTTTTAGGGTTCTGCTTTAGCATGTATGGTCGGACAATTAACTTATGGTAAGCGTCAGTGGGAAAGATACGACTCTCAAATGAGAAGAATCATACCACTCATGCATGAAACAATGAAGGAATTAATTGCAGTGATTGATGCTGACACTTCAGCTTTCAATGATTACATGGTATGTTGTTAAATTTTTATATGCAGTAATGGTGCACTTAAAATTATTTTATAATTTTATACCTTTAACTTTAATACATTAATATTTGAGAGGCACATATCACTTGTATCTAAAAACATTATTAGTTGTGCTTAGGTTAAGAAACAAGAGAAATCAGTATTTTATTGTACGGTACCTATTATAAAATCAAAGAAAAATGATGGCATTTTTCGTTTTAAGACGATGTAAGATAACTAAATTAACAACTATTTGTTAACTGAAAAGAATGGTAAGCTAGATCTAAAATTTTATTTATAATGTTTATCTTTGCTAATAAATGCCATATTGATGAATGTTCTACTAGCTGCTGTGTACTTTGATAATTTACTTTTCAGAGAGAAAGAGAAATTTAAATATTCATTTTAAAGAAGAATTGTGTTCTTCCTCATGCTAAGATAAATGAGGTAATAACTAGCAATCATTCAAAAACCTTTATATGCTAAAAATACGTAAGTTTGATATCTGCAAGCAAAATCAAAATCTCTTGTTTTATTTTTCCTAATAACTGCCACTTATATAAGCATATCTCTAATTTTTCCTTCCTTCCTTAAGTATTTACACATTACTTTCAAACTACTTTTACTATGAAATTGTCTAAAATATCTTTTCATCTATTATAAATTAATTGTATGACTTTTGCTTTGCATGTTATCTATCTTCCAGTTGATATTGCACAGTGATGTGCTGCATTTTGTAAATGAAAACTCTTCTTTTTCAAAAACTTTTTGTTTTTGGAGCCCTGTGTATGCTCATGGTTATCACTTCCAGCTAGCAGTTGGAGGATTTGCAGTTTAAAATCATAGTGTGGACACAACTGATTTTTCATGTTTCTCACTCTGAAAAGCCTAACAGTCTCTGCAATGTATTCTGTGTATTAGTATGCATTCTTGAAGGATTTTGTAAATTTGTATTAAAGTGTATCTGTATATAAAATTTCTGTAGATTGTCATATCATCATTACTAAAAATATATCATGTGAAAAATACCTGACACAGAAATCTGAAAAGTTTAAATAAAATATAGTTTTAATAGCCTATTTTATATTGACCAAAAACTATACTATGAAGATCAGTATCATGAAAAGTTTTCAAATGTATGAATTTTTTAAAGAATATTGTATTTACTTGCATATTCCCCCTTAGCTTTGTAGTACAAGGTTCTGAACATTTTTTTTAAGATTCACATAATTTTCCTTTCCTCGAGGCATTCAGAAGACAAGCTCCCCTAAATTTAAAAGTGGATTCATCCACGTAGTGGTAGTTTTCATCTTACTAATTTATTTGCATATGGATTTTGGATGCATAGGCTCTAATTGATCAAGCAGTAATAGTAAAGAGCTTCAAGAAAACAGGAATACTTAATGCTTTTGTTGATTCAGAAGATCATTGCACAGAGGAAGACGGACTGAGCCGTGACAAAGATGTTGGCAATGGTGATAAAGGCAATGACTTGTAAACTGTAGCAAATGACACACACTGCAATTTCAGTGGAATTAATTAATTCGAAGCCTAGGAAGTAGCAGTGGAAAATAATAAGAGTGGGCGAGATTTGAGTTACAGGGAAGTAGAAATAAAAATATCTTACTGACATTGTAATATTAGCATTACTATGTATTCTTAGTGGAATGGAGGTTTCTTTTAAATAAATAAGTTTGTGATAGTACAGGTACAGTTTATTCATATTTTTCATTTGTTATATTGATACAGTTTAATTATCAGGAAAGGATTCAGAAGAATATTTATGCACATATGTATGATATGTCTGTGCATATATAAGTGTGTACACACAGATGCATATGTGCATACTTGAACACGTACATCCCCACTTCATGCATACATACATAAATTTCTGGATCCAGCTCTGATAACAGAACAGTACCATTATATTCTTGCTATCACTGCATCCTTTGGAAATTAAATCATTCTCATTATTTTCTCCTCTCTATTTCCATACAATAAAATTAGTGAAAACAGGGGAATATGCGAGTAAATATGGTAATTTATGAATGCCACCGTTATTTCAGTTAACATATACTCTTTATTTGTTACATCCAAGTTGCATGATTAATGTTATGTTTTATTGCAGGCTGCTCTGAAATTGCCAAAAGAAACACCTGAAGATATTGCAATGTATGTACAATTTTGTTGTTAAAACAAAATACTCAAATTTAGGTAAACCTTGTGCATGTACTTCCTTAATGCAGAATGTTTATGAAATAAAAACTTTAGACAGTGTATTGCAATAACTTGATAAAAATTGTAATTGTCAGCTTATTATAAACATTTTGCTTGGAGATCTTAATTTTCCTTTGTAATTTCACTTTGAATGTGATTTCTACTGATTTTAGAGAGCATGTGTGAATGCCAAGTATGATTTTTTTTTTTGGGGGGATGTGACATTTATCTATAAACATCATTTCAACAATTAAGAAAGCATCCAAGGTTATTTCATTGAGGCTGAGATAAAGCTAAAATACTACTTTACTGCGACTTTAAAAATTCATTCACTTTGTCACTGTAAGCATGGCAATAATACAATACATCATATCGGAATGTTACATCACCTTTGATTGAATAGGCATGTTTGCATGTGTGTGTGTGTGTGTGTGTGTGTTTCCATGTTCACTCAAATTTTCTGTCAATAATAATATAACAAGATCTGTTTCCAAGGTATTAAAAAAGCAGATATTTTATGGACAGACCTCGTGTATTCCCATCCCTTCTCTGTTTGGAAGTAATGGTGGTGTTTGTACAGAACATATAAAGGCTAAAAGTTCAACTCTGTAATCTAAATGTACTGATTAATGATAGTAAATCCCATTTTACAGAAACACTGAATAAGCACTTTGCTGTTATTGCATGGCATGTTTCCCATATGATTTATTTTACAGCAAAGTATGCTAGGGCTATTTGTCTTAAGGGGAGCATGCCTTCATGGAGAATTTCTGAGAGAAACTAGCTGGTACCCATGTTAAAGCTGGGAAAAATCACAAAAATGGCTATACAGCCAGCCCATTCCAGGCCAAAGTACCGATCTTCAGCGACTTTACTACTCAACCATTTTTTTAAATGTTTTTTCGTGGACTTTTATATTAAACTGAAATTATAGGACTCTTAAGATGAATGTGTAGGCTTCCCTATTCATTTTTGAATCAGTATATATAGGTTTCCCTGTTCATGGGGAGATAAGTAAAGTTATTTTCTAACAATGAATACCATTTTCCATATAAATGTACCTTATAATATAACAAAGTTCATTAGTGTTAAAATTTTAAACAATTACAATACTTAAACCATAAATACAGAGGTAACCCATATTTTAAACATATCTAATGAAAAATACTTTTTTTCAGGGGGGGGACATTGGTTCAGAGACTCTGTAAAATAAAATTTTTATTTTGTTTAAAAATAAATATTGTTCAGACATAACATTTTATATGTGAACCTTTAAATACAATATTTTGCATTACATAGTTTATTATCAGTAATATTTAATTAATTTTAGTCTTATTTGTTTATTAAAGGAGGGAAACAGCCATGGAAGCTGGATTAAAAAAGGCAATTTCTGTACCAATGTCTTTAGCAAAGTCTGTAAGTAAGCTCTGGGACTCATTGAAAGAGTTAGCAGCTGTTGCAAATTTTGGAACAAAGTCTGATATACAAGTAGGTATTTTCAAATTTCAATTTAAACAAGAAAAGATCTTGTCATAATTAGAATGTAAGGTATTCTGAAATCTCTTAAACAATGCACTTGGAGAAAATGTAAATATTGCATTTTTATTTTTTAAAAAAACTTATAGAGGGGGATAATTTATTTTTTATAACAGTAGATTAAATAAAAATAAAATATTTCATTCATCCATTGGCCCAACATTTGCTTCTCAAGCATTTGTGAGGAATGGCTAATCTTAATTTATCCATCTCATCACAGAAAGTATTGCCCAAGGGGCACCATAGATATTACTTCTACGAGAAGAAAAGGACACACACAAACAAACAAGTTTATTCTGGATGAACCTGCAGCTAGAATTCGAACTACTATTAAAAATTTGGATCAAGGTTTCTCCAAAATTTAATAATAAAAAAATTACAACCAAAAGATGACAAAATGTTTTTCCATTATTTGGAGCTTTGGTTGAATCATTATTTAGTAATATGTTGACCCACGAATTGGCAATATGTTGAACAACAAATAGGGAATGTTTAGGAATAGGGAAAGTCATGAATTAGGATATGTTGAACCGTGAATTGGGGATATGTTAACAGAGTTCGTACGGTCCTTGAGAGTCCTTAAAAGTCCTTAAGTTTTTTGGAATCGATTTTTGGTCCTTAAAAGTCCTTAATTTTGGCCAAAATTGGCAGAAGGTCCTTAATTTTAATCATCTGAAATTTCTGTTTGTTTTTACGACTGCCATTCTGGGTGTGAATTAGCATATTGCAGGAATATTTTGGGTGATTCACTGACAAATATGGCTATTTTTTGATTGGGTTCATGAGATATCTTTGTTCCTATTTGTATATAAATAATGGTGCGATACTCAATTCTGGCAAGAGTGAAACATAAGCATTTCAAAATTATTTCATTTTTTGTAATGAAGAACTCTCAAACAACTTTCCTCTTTGGGGATGTGAATTCTTTTATATAAACGGTTCTAATTTTGTCGATTATCACATTTTGGTGTTTTACGATCGGTTTTCTATAAAAAATTTTAATTCCGAGATCTGGAAATTTTTTGACGATTTTTTTAAAACATTCTAACTCGATAATTTATTAAAAATAATGGTAATATATTGGAATTATTTAAGAAACAACTTCATAAAATTTTATTTTTCACTATCATATTATAAATTCCATTTGGCCACATATATACAATTTTGAATCTGAAAAATAA